CGCTAAAACATAATTTAGGGTCTGTTTGTTTAGCTGTAATTGGTTTTCTAGAAAATGAATTAGGGTCTGTTTGTTTTCCGTAATTGGAATTACGGAATTGGTTTTCCCCGAATTCCCGTGTTTGTTTCACGTAATTCGTTTTCCGGAAAATATTTTCCCGTGTTTGTTTCACGTAATTCGTTTTTCAGAAAACGTTTTTCCATGTTTGTTATAATATAATTGATTATTTTATATAATATTAAAAATATAATATTATATTATTATAAATATTAATAAATATATTTTAAATATTTTAATAATTAATATTTTGATGAAAATGATATTAAAATATTTTATTAATATTAAATTCATAAAATAAAATTATTTTGAGTATTTTTGCTTTGAAGTGAAAAGTTCGGAAAATGACTTACGGAAAATGAATCCGTAAGTCATTTTACAGAAAACACAAAGGAAATTCTGTTACTAGGAAAATGAATTACATTCCGGAAAACGAATTACGTGAAACAAACACGGAAAAACGTTTTCCGGAAAACGAATTACGTGAAACAAACACGGGAAAACATTTTCCGGAAAACGAATTACGTGAAACAAACACGGGAATTCGGGGAAAACCAATTCCGTAATTCCAATTACGGGATTTGTTTGTCTGTTAGGAGAGTCTGTTATATAATATTTGTTTAGTTTGTTTAGTTGAACCCTTCTCGGAGCCTTCTAAGTTTTCGTCAATGTAACTATATACTCTCTGTAATTCCTTATGGGAAAGTACGGCTTTATGAAATGAAAATAAAGTTGAGAAAATAATGGCTTTCAACATGATATCAGGTTTTGGGGATTCTGTGGTTCATTTCTTGAATTTTTAGGGTTTTCTTCTTCGGGCTTCTTTGTTGGGGTGCCTCTGTCATGGGGGATAAGATCTTTACAAACAAGAAAATTAGCGTGGTGTCGGACAAGTTCAATTTTCTGCCATGGAAGCAGCAGATCCTACTTGCGAATGGGACAACGATTCCGAAAGAAGAGTCTGAAACGTTTCTTGCACAAAATAGTGCTTTGGCTTTCGTTGCTACCACAGCTGGTGGGTGCTGAAACGACGGCTGAAATATGAAAAATCATTGATCGGTTCTTTGCGAGAAAGACGATTGCCATGATCATGAACCTCCATTATAAGCTGAATATGGTTCAGAAGGGTGACTTAAGCATGCGTTCCTTCATTTCTCAGGTCAAAGAGGTTGCTACTATTATAGGTGCTCTTCCCTCGGAGTATAGATCTGTCATTACAGTTACAACAGCCAGCAGAGAGCCTCTTTCCCTTGGTGGGGTTACTTATGTCCTTATTGATGCCGAGCTTCAACAACAAAATTTTGATCATCTTTATGGACTTTATATAAGTGCTAAACTGGCTAAAGTTTCCATTAGTGACGTTAGAAAAAATGTTAATCCGAGATAAAATAACAATAACAATAAATATTATTATATAATCAAACGAAGCAAAATAATTATAAAGAATTAAAATAGAGAATGGAATTAGTTACTCATGTGTAGACACTGAATCGAATGAGTAGAGTATGATGAACTGAAAAAGGATTTTTTTAGGCATGTATGAACAGTTTCCTTAAGACATATTTGTCATCTCCCCGGTGCTCTGAGTAACGTTGGACGTCAGTCTCCCAGGATACAACAACAAACGATCATAATAGTAAGCACAACCGTAGTGATCAGTCGAACACAATCTCGCCTTTATCTATTACCGGAAAGAACGAATTTGGAAGTAACTTTCTAAGGGTTTTTTTAATTCAATATTGTGAATTGTAACTTGTAACTTGTGCCTAAGAAGTATGTCTCAACTAGCCAATATATATGGAGAGGAAACGGGTTAAGACCTTTTCGTGAAAGGATTTAATATTTTCATGAAGAGAATTGTTGATATGATTAACTTTAAACAAAAAACAATAAGTTAATTCACCAAGTGACATAACTTATTATTAATTAGTTATAAATAACATCAATTCATTTAATAATTTTTCTAACAGGTGATTCGTGCGGGCACAATCCATCGCAAGTCTCTGCGCAGGAGTTTGGGCAATCTCAGTATCGTCAGGCTGGTAAAGGACGTTGTCGCACTCGTATTCAGTGTCAATTATGTGAAAAACTTGGTCATTCGGTGGACCGATGCTGGTACCGTTTTGACCAAACTTTTAATAGTGACTCCACTGCTCCTCCCAAAGCTCCTTTAAAGCCTCAAACTCCCTCGGTAAATTTCTATTCGTATTCTGGAGACCATTATTGTGGCTATAATAGGTTTGGGTCTCGTCCTAAGCGTGGTGTGGCTTTGGTGGCCGACTGTGGGCACAATGGTCGTGGTATTGCTCGTAAAAATGATGGTTGATTTGTGGATTCTGGTGTCATCCATCACGTTACTATTGATGGTGTTGATGTGGCTGATGGAGAAGAATTTCATGACTTTGATACCATGTTGAAAACCATTATTTTCTTAACTTTATTTTCATTCATAGAGTTATTCTTTTCTATAAGGGATTACAGATTGTCGAAAACCTAGAAAGCTCCTAGAAGGGTACAACTCAACAAATATTCTCAACAAACTCTCCTAATATACTAACAAATTCTTATCTATCAGATATAACAATTTTACGTTCTAACAGTCTTTAATTATTCAATAAGTGATTATTTGAAAGATTATATTTAAACACATAAAAATTTCATATCTAAACAATATGACATTTAATAAATCCAAGACTAAATATATTGATTTCGAACTGTCAAAAATAAATCTTAGACTCCATTAATTATTTTTTTGAAGTATTCGTAATTTTAATATAAAAATTTGTCATTAACTATTGAAATAAATTTAATTAAATTCAAAATATATATTTGATAATTCAAAATTAATGTGTTTAATCATATTTTCTTTACTCGGTTGCATAACCCTAGTCAACCACTTCAAGCATCATATGCTTAGTACATTATGAAGGAGGATAACTGATGTGCTGATTTGCTTGCCGAGCTAGGAATCAACTTTTCAAACCTCTCACATTCGAATATAATTTCCACACTACGTGTGGGTTATGTTTTGTATCGTAGCTAAAAATTATAATATATCTTATTAAAAAAATAAGTTTTATTATTAATTATTTAATTTAGTGAGATGTAATATTAAATTTCTTAAATAAAATCAAAGGTGGTTTAAATTTTGATGTTGTTGAAAGAAAAAATTGAGTTGTCTCATAACATAGATATACAATATCCAATTTAAATTAGTTGATTAGTAAATCATATATAGACTATTAATCTAAAAAAATATTTTTTAATTGAATGAAAATAACTTTTAAAAATCATTTTTTTTAAATTAAATTAACTTATGATAAAAAGTATATAAAAATTGGATTCTACTTTTAAAGGGTAACTCTTTTTAAAACTATTCGAGATTAATAGATTAGTTGATTGATAATAACATGAGAACCGAAAGCCAAGACACATTTTGGTTGTTTGCCAAATTAAGCAACGGTTATCGGTGGAGAGCTGGTGTTTAACGGAGCTTAAACCAAGTTAGGTGTGGGAGGTAAGCATTGATCCATGACCCAAATGGTTCCAAGTAAGAGAGATACCCGCTGGTGCACTTACTAGCCACAACAGACCTATGGGTGGAAACTGCACCCACGTTGCATCACATTCACCATTAACATACAACTTCCAGATTCATTTGCATTCTTCTTATGATTAAAAAGAAAAAGTGAAGTTGGGGCCGGATGTCTAAACTCACCGGTGTAAATATCTATACCAGATTATTTTAACAGAAAGAATACACGAAGGTCAAGTTTTGTGTCAACTGCTCCGTTGTTTTCCCTAGTGAAAATGGTGTCTGTCACCCGTTCAACATGTTTTCTTGTCAATGAAAAAAACTCAAAAGTTTATAAATCACGCAGGTCTGTAGTTAAAAGGCAGGAAACTTAGCGTTTTGAAGCAACTACAGCATATAGCTCCACTTAAGGTCATTCTCAAAATGCTTTACTTCAGTTCCAAACAGTAGTGATACTTTGTAAGTCGATTGTTTATATTTTGCACAATCGATATCGAAGTATGAGTCAAAGACTTTGCTTACAATTGAAAATAAAAGTTGAGTTCAAATCTTTCCGGTTAACACCATACTTAAGAGCCTCTATGGCAGCTAAATACCGTTCCTACTTGTTTTAGGCGTGGTAGTTTATGTTGTACCTTTGGCTGAAGTAGTGACAGAACAGACACTGATTCATCAAAGCAAGATGACAAGGTGTGTGCTATCAGGATCGAGATATTGCACTTAGTTCTGGGAACAATACCAAATTCCAAACTTCAAAATCCATTCATTTTTCGTTAACCCAAATTATTCTCCTTAACAAGAAAAACTTTAAATTTGTTAACTATCTGATTGGAAATCGAACAAATAAGCAAATCATGCATGCAATAAAAAAATGCGGAATTTAAAAGGAAAATGGTAATAAAAGAAGGGAAAAACAAAAAGAACATGAAGTGATATGGGGCTTGGGAGAGAAGAAGAAAAGAGAAGGCCAATCTCTGAGTTGATCGACGAGCTTAGAACGGTTTATCCTTTCAGGAAACCCGGAATCTTTCTTCTCCGATCTTTGTAACCATCTTCTCCTCCGAGTAAAAGTTCGGGATAGTAAAACAAAAAAGCCTCTGGGATTTAAATCTCTTGTTTTATAGCTGGAATGAGACACTTCCGTTGTGATTAATTTCGTATGATGGTCATACCCAAACGCTTGGATTACGGAAGAATCTACTCCTGCAGTGAATATTTTGGTCGGCCAGTTTACAAGTGAATTTTTTGAGCAACCCTTTTTCGTTAGATGGAACGGTTTTTGATCAATACTGTTTATTTTATTTTTCATATTACATGTTCACCGTTCAGCCTTCAAAACCCTAAACTATCGTTAACAGCTGAAAATATAGATTCGTAAATCCACATCAAATTAACCGCAAAATGATCATTAGATTAAACTCTTAACTTGTTTAACAGCTGATTAATAAATTAATAATCGAACGTTACCTACTACTACTATGTAGTTCTACAACGGGCATTTACAAAATCAGCTCCCTAATATTCCAATAATCCACAGTGCAATGGAAAAGGGAGCTTCAATTTTAGAGCTATATCTCAAGCTCAACCGCAAAAATCAAAAGACCAGACTCTGCATCAACAAAGTGAAGAATCATTTCAACTGTTGAGGGTTGAAAGCATGCCTCCAGTACCAGTCGGCAGTACAACCTCCCAACCAGGACCTTTGAGGGGAACTGCATTGGCACTAGCCTTGGTTTCCTCTCCATCGCCAGAATCAGCAATAAGGTCGCTGCGATCAAGAATCCTTTCCAGATCCTCATCGCTGATATCTGTCTGAATCATCTTGTCCTCAGCAGTTTCTTCATTCCGGAGTAGTGCCAGTAGATCTTCCTCCTGAAATTTTTAGTCTGAAAATCAGTCTACAGCCTCACATAATAATCTTTACAAATCACAAGGACAATGGATTGGTGAAAGATCCCACAGCATAAGGTTTGATAAATGGAATGGATGATAAACCAAACCTCAATGACATCATTACTAGGTTTCCGTTCTTGGTGGAACTGCCCTTTTCCGATCACGACATGTTCTAGCTTCAACTTACTATAAGCTCTTTTCAAAATGCGACACTGTTAAAAACCACATCTTTCAGTTTCTTCTTAATTTTACTGCCAGTAGGAAGCTTAAAAGAAAGTACAAATATTGGAAAAAGAAACAGTACATGCCTCAACAGATTGTGCTGTTGCAAGTCTGTAAACATGAACAGGTTTGGTTTGTCCAATGCGATGACATCTATCCATGGCTTGCAAATCCATTTGAGGGTTCTGTGATAGACAAGCAACACAATGAGTAAGGTTTTAAATCCACTAATAAATCAGGAACTGAAGAACGTGAGGAATAGAACTGGATACCCAGTCACTATCGTAGAGTATGCAAGTATCAGCTGCAGTCAGATTGATACCTAGGCCACCTGCCCTTGTACTGAGAATAAATATCCTATAATTGCTGTTCACATCATTGAACTCTTGGATCTATTTGCAGGACAAAAAAACGGAAATACAAAATAGCTGATTAATAATTACGGTTAATAAGATATCTGATACCGGAGAACTTAATTAAAGACTGAGTATTCTTGGAGGCATATGGCTATTTTGTTCTAATGAAGACTCAAATACACAGATCAACCCATTTCTTATAATGTGGTTTCAACTTTAAGCTGATTTAAGAGAACTATAAAACAAATAATAATAAATATACAGTATTCATCACGTTGCACATACTTGTCTTCTCCTTTCTTCTAATTTCACTGCACCATCAATCCTACAAACATTAAACCCCTTTTCACTCAAATAGTAATCCATTATATCCAGAACCTTAGTCCACTGGCTAAAGATGAGAACCTGTTGACGAAAGGCAGGGAGAATGAGTAGACAGCTTTAAATATATATAAAACAATGAGAACATACAAACTAAACGTTCATAACATACTTTGTGTTTGCGCTCAAATAACTGGGTCAACAACCGGTCAAGCAATTTAAACTTCCCACACTGCTCAACGATCTGCTCTACAGGCGGATAAAAATCTTCACAAACAAGAAAAAAGTGTAAGTGAGGTTGCCGAGAATTCTTTCAGAGCAATTTTTCAGGAAAAAAAGAAGAAGCACAAGATAGGTACATGATCCATCAAAGGCAGCTTCTAGGAGATCTGGATGGTTGCAATTCTTCCGAAGCTGAATCATCAAATTGTTAAGCTTCCCTTTCATACGACGCCCTGCAGCATTGGAAAGGTAAACTATCATACAAATCGTGGCCGAATATAATGCAGAATGCTTAAAATTAAGATTTCGAACATAATGCAGAATAGTCAATCTTCTAAAACCAAACTCAAATTGATCTAAACCCAAATTGAAATGATAATAGTTTTGCTTCTAAAACCAAACTCAACTGATCTATACCTGTGTCAACCTTCTCTTTTAGATATGATTCCAAAGTTTGATTAAGCAAATGATCTTGGAAATTCCTTTGATAATCGGTCAATGTAGCATATAGTATGATCTCTTTTTTACGAGGGAGCATATGCTCCACATCAGCCTTCATTCTTCGAAGAAGAAAGGGGCGCAATATAGCATGGAGTTTAGCAACCACCTGCAGGTAAGTAAAAAGTCAAAATCAGAATTAATTTATAAATTGTAGTTTCAGAGGTGTGGGGAGGAAAAAAGTCAGAAAGGTGCATACTTGAGCTTTTCTTTTCTCTTCTATTTCTTCCTGTGACATGTCACCATTACTTCTCCCCGAAAAATCAAACCTAAATATTTAAATCATGTCATAAATGAGATAACAGTAAGCTAATGCAGCAAATCTCACCCAGGAAGAGGAAAAAACAATTATATTAATAACTCAAATAAAAAAAATAGAAACCCTGAGAAAGGAGTATCATAACATGCTTTCCAGAAAAATTTAATAACCTAAGAGGCCAACAAAGCATTTCCTATGTTTTCCAAGTATTCAAAAGTACTATAGAAAGGGACCAAGATATTCAAGATATGCCCTCAGGCTAACATTAGAAATCAATATTGTGTGATTACAGAAAAATAGAACACGATGACTTTTACATGGAATAATTACTAGAAGTGGAACCTTGACAGTGTGAATAGTTAGCAAACTAGTTATTTAGTACCTAATGTTACTCGGACACAGGCATAAGTATCGGAAATTGATATGTATAGAACACAGGTATGATTAGATTTTCTAAGTTTTTTTCATTCATTAAGAGGATCCTTGGACTTGGAGTTGGAATGAAGAGTTCAAACATGGTTTAGTACCATATTTTTAACTTGAGAATTGACCGAGAAAATATTATGCGACATACCATGACTCAAATTCTTCATGAGATTGAAAAATATCAGGCAAAATGAAATTCAACAACGACCATAGCTCTGCCAAGTTGTTCTGCAGAGGTGTTCCAGTTAAGAGGAGCTTATTGGCAACACGCAAGTGTTTCAATTCTTTCACTAATTTGCACTCGAAGTTTTTCAATCTGTGCCCCTATAAGAAAGAGGATAACAGTTATAATGGATCATTTGCCCATCAACAAGTTTCAAGTTTTCACATATTTAGGAGTACAACCAGAAGACTTAGCCAGGCTATAGACAACCCAGGATAAAATACTGACCTCATCAACCACAACATATTTCCACTCATAATGCCTCAAAAATTTCTTTGCATCACTCATCGCCATCTCATAAGAAGTAACAACAATTGGAAAGTTGGGGCCAATTCCTTTAGGCATGTGCTTCCTACGAATCTCATCCCTTTCTTGCTGGGTTCCATGATAAATGATTGCATCAATAGAGGGTGTAAACCTGCTTAAAAAAAGAGGGAAAGACCAATTAAAAGATGAAATTTGATTATATGTTTTTTATATAAAACCTAACAAATTATTTTACCTTGTAATCTCGTTTATCCAATTAGAAAGAGTTGACAGAGGAGCAATAATCATGTAGGGCCCGTTCATCCCATTTCCTTTCAAATGTGCAAGAAAAGCAATAGTTTGAATTGTCTTTCCAAGACCCATCTGATCTGCAAGGATCCCATTCAGCCCATTCTGCCATAAGGAGATCAACCACTTCACACCTTTAAGTTGATAAGACTTCAATTTTCCACCAGTCAACAAGGGTACAAGTTCTCTCTGCTCTTTCTCAATTTTTTCCTCTTCGGTCAGATTTTCATCTTCATTGTTCACATTCTCTCCCTCTTTAGATCTAGTAAGCATAGCTGCGACTGCCCTCTTGACCTTCCTCTGGAAAAATGAAATCACAGAAAAGTAGTTGCTTAATACAACCCAAGGCTTCAAATTATATTACAAGGATCTCAAGGCTACCAATGGATCAGAAACATACAACCTGCAACCTAGCATTGTTCTCAAAAAAGCTATTATCATACAAGAACTGTCGAGATAAACCAGATTGTTAACAGGGAACAGGAGCACCGAACAATTTACAAGTTGTACTTGGCATTGATAAGCAATAACAGAAGCATAAATTAAGAACAGTAATTATCAAGACAAAATGCAACAGATTAAGGACCTACCGAGTAAGATTGTAAGAAATAGACACGACTAATCATGCACAAATGATGCCGCATTACAGCACATGTATTGCAAGCATTACATGTTGTCAGGGTAAATAAAGCAGAAATCATACATTGTTGTACTGGTTAGCAGCTCTTCTTTTTGAGCCACGACCTCTCTTTGTCTCAGCAGCTTCAGGCTTAGGTACATTCTACCAATATTATAACAGATAATCAGAAAAAAAACAAACCAATTCAAATTATAAAAATGTATGTGAAACAAAGGTGATAGGGAAATACAAATGTGATGTCCTCCATCTTTTCAAGCAAAAACTCAGAGTACATCTGAGTTTGGGTCAAAAGCTCATCCAATCTAGTAAACTGTGTATCATTCAAGTGCACCAACTCTTCAGGCTCCTCTTGTTTTATATCCTCCTTCAACCGATCTTCCATTAGTTTCTCTTCCTCCTTGACCATAGCCTCTGATAAAAGAGACGCATCTCCATTTTTGGCATCTACCAACGTTTCCTCCTCCAGCTTTATGATTTCTTCTTCGCACTTCTCCTTCATTTTTGTAAGAGTAATATATATATATAAAGCAAAAGAAACATTATTCAATCCTCAAGAAGCTACAAAGGACCTAAAAATTTCCTTTAAAAACTAAGAGAATATCACATTTGAAACTTTCTGTCTTCCTTTCAATTTTCCTTTCCTCGCTCAGCCTTTTAAGTTTACAAGCATAAAGATTTAGGTTATATCTTCAATCATTTTATCAATGACCAAACATAAGCAGTTAAAAAGACACCAAAACCTTTAAAACCACAAGGAAACGAAGCAAGAGATAAAGTACATCCAAACAAACCTCGTCTTCGAGAACTGAAGTCGGTGATTCAGCGGAAGCGTTGTTTTCGTTTCCTTTCTCGGCCCCCATTGTCAAACCCTAAAAGTACTTACACCAACCAAAATTAAAAAAAGGAACATGAACATGAACATGTAAACGAAATAATCAAATTCTAAGAGATTAGACATATGAACTAAAGCTTTAGCTACATCCAAATACAGAAAAACCCTAGGGTTTTAGATCGTTGAACGCAGAATAACACCATCCCAATAGTAAAAAGCATGAAATATATGACAAGGAACTTAACATACAGTGAAAGAGCTTCAACTATCAGAGAGTAACCGGAGAGAAACTAAGTCGAATCGTCGAAAAGGAAGAGCGAGCAGAGCGCAAAAGAGAAAATGAGAGTGATAGTGTGATACATTTTTGCACGAGCGGAGCACTTAAATTAAGCATTAAAAATTATTTTTATTTATTTTCTAATTGACTGTCGTCAGTTTGGGCGGGAAAAACGAACTTTGACAAATACCCCTAAGTGTCCAATATATAACAGTGGATTCAATTTATTTCCTGAATGTTTGAAGGGTATATTAGTAAATTGATATTTCATCTGGGTCCAGAATATGTGGCATTCACAGGTAGGTTATGGGCTCCCAATTTTGGGGCACGCTCTGTCCCTTCCACTAATTTTCTTCCCTGCCTTTTTTTAAATTTTTGCGACTTCGAGGGACGGTGCGATATTTTCAACTTTTGAAATGGTTTTTAAGAACTTTTTGATTTGATTAATCAATGTCTTGTTTGATATAGTTATGAGTAATATATATATATATATGTGTATATATATAAAGAGAAGGGGTTTGTTCATAATTAGGAACCACCGTAAAATAAAACTTCATAAGAAGAAAGAAAAATGAGAAACCAATAAATAAGCTCAGCTGATGAATTTTTTGCATACAGTGGACAAGAAAATCAATGTCCGAACAACACATTTAAAAATCCAAATTATTTAGGTAAAAAAAATTGACAAAACACTTGATTTTGATGTGCTGAAAGTTAAATGCAGTGTGGATGATGAAGTTGCTTTCTACCGAGAAAATTCCACCTACAACAAGGCAAAACGAAAAGAAAATAACTCAAGATAGCTTGCAGATGTTTTCAAATCCCATGTACTCTCCATTTTCCAGCTTTTCAACCATATCAACAATGCCAACTCCACCTGCAACAATTTTCATGAAAATGGGATCAGGATCTTGGCATTTTGAGAGGTTCAAATTCAAGTGACTGGCTTTGCAAGGTAACTTGTAAGGCCTCGAGGAAGCGAGGAGCTGTTGTACCTAAACTGATTGCACTGATAAAGATCGTCAAAGCAAGTATGAAGATGATAATCGATGTTCTTCCGATGACTGCAATAATCTTTCTGACTACATGCTGGCCAGTGAAGGCAGCAATTGTTGCCACGAGAACAAAATAGGCAGCTGCAGAGGAAAAACAAGGTTACATTGAAACTCTCACTGATATTGCTGAAAAAACCAATCATAATAGTTATCTTTCACTGATATATCCACTTACCATATGGGACAGGAAAACGGTTGAGAAGATAATATTGTACAACTGACATCGAGGACGAGAATACCATAGCGAACGTTGATGTCGCACTAGCTACCTGCAGAATATATGTTACTATGTCGAACTCGGTTACCATGAAGACTGAAGAATAATTTTTGGACCACAACAAATTTGTCTCATAATATACTAAATGTAAGTAGTACTGAAGTGTACCTGAGGAGGAATTCCTAGCTCAAGGAAGAGGGGACCCAAGATGAAGCCACCTCCGAGTCCAAGCAGGCCGCCAACAATACCGGCTATAATTCCGCAAGAGCAGTATAAAAGAATCTGATATACCTTCCAGTTTATGACTTCCTTTCCTTTGGATGCAATCACCCTGGTTCCCTTGTATAGGCTTACGGCTTCAAAGAGTGTCACGGAGGCAGCAATGGGTATCTATTAAAACAGAAAACGAAACAATAACGATCGAGTCTTGAGCTTTTAGCCCCAAGAAACTCTAGATTTTCTGATTTGTAAACCAGTGCTTCTTAAGCTTTATTCCAAGCCAATAACATGGATCAATCATACTGTAAAATAGCCATAAGAATTGGTTCCATATTTTACCTGCAAAGAGTTCACAACCCAATACATGACTGAACAGGTTGGAAGATATTCCTGCAGAAACAAACATGTGGACTATGTAAACATGGAAGATCATCGAAATTGTTCTCGTAACGATATGGACAATATTAGCACACCTTGATTATCTGAACAACAAGAAAACTGATCCACACGTAGACAAGCAGCAGTACCTCTTTCCAGTATATGTTTTGCAGTAGAGATACCTGAATTGAATAATAACAACAATAAGCAATTATAACAAAGACTATAGTTGTACGAAAACCGAACTGTCCTTGAACTTACTTCGTCAACTGGCTGGTTCCCAGGGCCACTTGGTAGCCGTTTATAGTCCTGTTCATCTCCATCTGCAATGCTTGAGTTTAGCATAATACATTTGCGATAATTTCTATAGATAAGGTTTACAACACTCACCGTCCGGTTTGGACTCGTCTACTTCGGACTTAGCGGCTTCCTGAAAACAGAATATCAAAATCCTTATTAATATGTTATGCCAAAGGGAAGCAATCCAAGGAAAACTGAAGGAAAAATGGAAAATTATACCTTTTTCATCATTGTCTCTTTCTTCCATGTATCTATACCTTTGAATAGGGCTTTCGTAGATGTACCTGGCATCGACAAATTTATGCTTCTATATCAGAGAAAACCATGTTACATATACCTGTTTAGCCCAAAAACGGTGTTAATTCTTATTACCAATGAAGAGGATGATGAGCAGAACTGTGACCATCCAATCAGCAAACATGACATTGAAAACAACTCCAATACTGATTCCAAGCATAAGCATGGGCTGGAAGAGCAATGCCAAATCATAGTCTATGAGGGGCATTTCCAGGGTTGGGTGCCTAAGTTTCAGGTTATAATATACTGTTGATCCAGCGGCACCCATGATCATACCTGCAACCATAAAAATCCTCGTTATAAACGTGATTAGTGCTAAAGACTGAACGATCAGCATAAATTCTCGAGTTTTACAATGTTAATCATGTCATGATCATGCAATGTTGATGCAAAAAAGCTGAACTCACACTTGGAAATGGCGGTGGACGACTTTGGGTCGAAGCCAATAATGAGAGAGAGCATCGGCACAAAAATCCCACCACCTCCAACGCCTCCAACGCTGCCCAATGCTGCACCGAGGAATCCGACGATCGATCCCACAACTACTTTCCAACCAAACTCCATCTCCTGCTCAAACAGTGATTAATAAATTCATATATATCAAACTTACCAATCTTGAAAAGAATTAGCTGTTGCGTAAGATAATCGGCTGACGGCTTTACTTACCGGCCAGACAGGTTCATAGCCAGACTTCCCACTTTGCCAGAGGAAATTGACAACTCTAACAAGAAATCCCTGTGTTTTAACAGTCTCTTTGGGGACATGTCGGTTCCCTTTGTCTTTCAGTAATCTCTCTGCTATCCCCACATTGCTCATCACGACAAGAACCAGAAAAACTCTCCATGCCATGAATGCCAACCATCTTCTGTTAACCTTAATTTCAGCCATCTATTCAAAGAATTAGCAATTCAATTGAAGAACTTTTTTGAAGCTTTAAGTTCACTCAATTCTCTTCTTATCCCTCTCTGGTACCAATATAGATTACAACATGGGAGAAAATAAGAAAATATGAAGAAGCAATGAGTTCACTCTATTGGTACTATCCCTGGTGTCTACATTTATAAATGTCTCTATACTCCTTCCCTGCTTTTTACCCCACCTCACAGTTCCTCGGATCCTCTCGTACTAACTGCAAGTTTTAACTACGGTTGATTATATAAGTAAACATGGATATAAGATATGATATTTTAAATATATAAAAAAATTAAAATATGATTGTATAGGATATATTCATGTCTGTCATTCATCATAAATCCAGCTAAATCTAGGGGTGTAAATATTTCGAATTTGAATAAATAAAGTTATGTTTGTATTCTTTTGTTTATTTTTTAAAGTATTTGTATTTGGCTCGTTTAATGTTTGCAAACATGTATATGAACATATTCATTTATATGTTCGCCAACATGTTCGTTTATATGTTTAGAAATTGTGAAATCACACCACTAGTCCTTAAGCTCCTTTTAGCTTCACATATTGAACTCCAAAGCTCTATTCTTTTCAATTTAGTCTCTACCTTCACTAATATTTAAAATATAAAAAAAATAAAAGGCAAAAGAATATGATAAACGAGTTTGTTCGTAAACATAAACGAACCGAACACACTTATTAAACGAACTAAAAATTATATGCATACTTATTTATTTAACTTAATAAATAAATATTATACGAATTATTCATGAATAGAATGTTCTCTTCATTTAGATTTCTACCGCTAACATAGGTGTTGGAAGTGAAATGAAACAATCAAAGGCAAGGCTGCGAGCTATGTTTGGAGGAAACTTCTCCGAAGCTGCATACAAATTTTTCAAACATTTTAGTACGGAACAAGAAGTAATATTAACAGGCATCATCGAAAATTACAGTAAAAGGGAACTCAGCCCCGAGGTATAAGCCTTGGGGTACTATAATTTTAATGCCGATTTATACGCCAAATCCATGAAACTTCATAGCTGCTTCAGTCCATCTTGGCTTCTTCTTTCAACTGTTTTAATTAGGGGTCAATATTTTATCAAGCCAAATCGAGTCAAGTTAAAAAAATTCGAGTTGTTCGAGTTGACGAGTCTTATTTTATAACTCAAACTTCATTTAAATTTTTTGAGAGTCTAATCAAATTGTTCGAGTTTTTGTCTAAATCTATTTGTAAATATTTATAATATTATGATATTAGTTGATTATAATCTAAACTTCTATAACTATATACAATACATATATATTTCTTCATATTTTTTTCATATGTGATATACATATATCATACAAAGCCAAGAGACTCAAACTTAAAAATCATTATACTAATTATTTGAGTTATTTAAGTTCTATTTTATAACTCGATTCGAATTTGAAATTTTTCGAGTTGAGTTGAGTTTATAAAAATACAATTTAAAATCAATTCAAATCTAATCGAATAAAAAAGATCAATTTTTCAAGTTGAATCGAATTTTAATGAGAAAATAACCTCAGTGACCAAAAATCCCGGATAATATACGATTTTGACCAACTTTTTTTGGATTTACGAAAATGACCAACAAAATCGCAATGTAATCTCTAATTCGCATTGCGATCTCCAGTATCGCAAATTCGCGTTGTATTTCGCATTGCGATAGTTGAAAATCGCGTTGCGATTTTCCATTTCGCGTTGCGATAGTCTACAGTTGTCGTTGCGATTTTCCAAATTTGTTGCGATAGTCTACAGTTGTCGTTGCGATTTTCCAAATTCGTTGCGATAGTTAAAAAAAGATTTTGTTTCTTAAGAATTTTCTCTAAAAAGATAGTATCCGCGCGGACGTGTCGAAGACACGTATGACCACGACCACGACCACGACCCCGACCACGAGACGAGACGGCGGCGGCGGCGCGCGAGAATCCCCCTTGTTATCTTTCACTCAACAAGGAAGTGCAAAATCCAAGCCTTAAATACCATTCCCAATAGTATTTCCGATACTATGTGGGATTGAGCATTACCAATCATATTGTGAAGATTGTTGCTTGAAGAGTTGAATAACGTTCATTGCCACAAGCGTTGCATGATTGGTTCTGGTGGAGGTTCTGTCGGGTTTGTATTCTTATACTTGAAGAAATGATGATAACCTATGCTACTTAAATTAAGCACATGATATCTACGTATATTACTATTAAGAATGTAAGTTGCTATATATGCAAGCAAAGTCATCAAATTAAAGGACTACTTTTACTTGTTTCAAAACATTGTTAAAAGTAAAAAATTAGAAAAAGTGGGGTAATTCTCAATCCCACATAGTATTGAAAATACTATTGGGAATGATATTTAAGGCTTGGATTTTGCACTTCCTTGTTGAGTGAAAGAGAACAAGAGGGACTCTCGTGCGCCGCAGCCGTCTCGTCTCGGGTCGGGTCGGGTCGGGTCGGACCCGGGGCCGGGGTCGGGGTCGGGGTCGTGGTCGTGGTAATACGTGTCTTCGACATGTCCGCGCTGATACTATCTTTTTAGAGAAAATTCTTAAGAAACAAAATCTTTTTTTTTAACTATCGCAACGACAACTGTAGACTATCGCAACGCGAAATGGAAAATCGCCGCGAAATGGAACACGAATTTGCGATACTGGAGATCGCAATGCGAATTAGAGATCGCATTGCGATTTTGTTGGTCATTTTCGCAAATCCAAAAAAAATTGATCAAAATCATATATTATCTGGGATTTTTGGTCACTGAGGTTATTTTCTCAATTTTAATTACCCCTAATTTTAATACCAACGTAGGTACTTCCAAACAAATCCTCTCTCACGTTTCCTTCTTTAGTCTTTACTATATATTCATGTCTTTTTGCTGCTTTTGGAATTTTCTGATCCACCGGTTCACTTCATTGTGATGAGATTAAAAGTAATAAGGGTAAACTACATAAATGGTTATTAATATTTGAATAATTTTTTATTTTTTTTACTAAAATTTAAAAAATAATAAATCAATCAATAACATTATTGATTTATAATAAATGAGTCACTCACCGTTAACTGTAATTAAGAAATTGAGGAAATTATATTGCTTCCCTCGTGAAACGAAATTACATTTTAACTTATTAATGCTTTAAAAATCTACACTAACATTTTGTGCTTGTCTTTTTATTTTTCTATCGTGATTTGTGGTGATTGCCTTTTAGGCTTGACTTTACCTATTTTTCGGTATGCATGTGTTGTCCGATTCTTTTGTCTGCTTGTGATTCATGAATTTTATATAATCTAATTTATGTATCATTTCCTTCCTACTTAGAAATAAGCTGTCAAAAAGGATGTGTTTCAATTATTTGATGAGAAAGTGAAGGACCATAAAGATTTAGAGTTTAGATGGGCTGTCTTGCAGGAGACTCGTGTTGAATATTTGAAAGGGAAGGATTTTGTAAGCTTTATGAGAAGGGTTAATTACTAATTCTCAGTAGAAACACAAAAAATGGTAAATTGAATGAAACACAATGGCGTTATGAAGAAAATTGAATGAAATTGAAATTGCATATTCATAAAAAAATGGTAAATGTAGAAACAAATATTAGTTGGCAATAAAGTCAATTCTAATGAAGGGAAATCCAATTTAGGTAAATTGGACCATCGTTAATGCTTAAATAGCCACTACTATTCTATCTCACAAAAAAACTACGATAAGAACGAAAAAAATTATGACAAATAATTAATTCACAGAAGAAGAACACCCTAAACTCTCACCATTGATTGGATGCGAGGATGGTAAAGATCAACGGATCGTATGGACATCTCGGCGATCTCAGTAATTGCGTCTTCTTTAACCCCGGGCACATCACTGGTCAACTCCTCGTAGGCAGCCTCGAACGCCTCTTGCCAAAACCTCGGTAATCTGATCTGGCGGCTGTTACTGTACGCATCCCACATGTGCTTCACCACTTTCTCTCTCTCTTCCATTTCCTACCAAGAAAAACAAAACAATTCAGAAAAAAAAAAAAGAGATAAAAAGCAAATTTAGAGACGAGGAATACAAAACAATTGAGAGTAAAATAGGAGGACATCTAGGTCATAGTGGACGGGGCTATGGAGATCATTGGTAAGACGGTTCAGATTGCCGGCTGACCACCGCAGAGTAACGGTGCCGTTGAACATAGACCATAATGCGAGCAACAAAATGGCCGGGTTTTGCCCAGAACTTGCACCGGCATTTACCAAATAAACTCGAACCTGAACTTTCCTTCTTCAAATTCGCCGTCGCCGATGTGGGCAGAGTGTCCTCATCCTTCATCTCGAATCAAAATGTAAATGATAAATTTTTTCCAATCTTTTCGCAAATTTATTTGTTTACCTTTGAGTTATACTACTAAGGGATGAGTTTGGATTAGAGTAGGAAACATTCAAGAAGGCAATTGATGATTGATCTGGATTTGCCGTCTCAGCAGTGGAGATCAATGGGAAAAGCAATTAATATTTTATTATATGTAACTATTTTGCTGGCCACCACACTAGACTATTTCCGCTTTACTTGATCTTTTACTCAACTGCGAAGTATTTTGACCGTTGATCTATCGAGACAGATTTAACGGTTTTACAAGATACTTGACAAATTCTCGTTAGATGCAGCTACCAACTCTGTACGCCGCCTTTTTCCCGCTATTCGAGGTAAATTTCCTTACATAATGTAGTTGAAAAATAAATTCTTATGTAAGGAGTCGGAGAATTTTTATTTTCATCTAAGGTTGTTGGAATTATTTTTTGAAAGATATCGGAATTACATGGCGTTATCTTTCTAATACAAATGGAATGAAATCTGGACTTGAAATACAAATGAATATATGAAGAAGCTTCAAAATTTTCTTTTGTATTAAAACAAAATTCTATCGTGTAAAGCCAAAGCCATTGCTTTTTCTTTAGTCCTCTTCAAAACAAAAAAAGTTAAAAGAAAAATGTAAATTTCTCTTCTTCTTATGCTTCTAAACTATATAGTTTGTGGATCAGATGGCGGAAGAAAATCTTCCTTCGTCAAACCCCAAACATTAAAATCAACATCTTCAATCTTCCATTTCTCTTCGATTTGCCGCTTGTGGTTAGCCGATTGCTCGCCATACCTAAACACCGTGACGCTTGTTTTCCCAGAATGAGCGATGTTGACGCCATCGGTTGCTTTATAGTCATCCATTACCGACTCCGTCCTCGTCTCCCAGAACACGTCGTTGTCATCCTTGTTCTTCATCATCAATAGCCTGGAATCCTCGAATTGAATCATGAGACCCGATCGCTGGCTAAAGTAACCCCAGATTGTGTGATTGATTATCTCATAGTTCGGTCCGCTTTGGGCCTCACGGATGGCTGCACTAGTCTCAAGCTTCAGGATAAAGCAGTCTTCATTGCTTATAATCTTCTCACCTATGCATGTGGCATCTATAAACAAATTGGCAGTTGATCTTGGATCCAAACCCTACTTGAAAAGATACCAAGACTCAAATAAGCTCGATTTTATGTTATAGGATACGAATTTTTCCAGAAAATTTGAGATACCTGAAGAAATCTGCGTAAGGGTCTGGGAGGGCCTCTTGAAATGGGAGTGTTTTGATTAGAAGAATGCCTCCAGGAAAGTTTGCCATCGCTTCCAGAAACAACCTTGCAACCTGAAATTATAAGCTCCAAGCACCATAAATCTGGATCTTTTTGCCAGAGCACGAATCCGCCTATTTCTTCTGTGCTTTTCACTTTAACGTTTACATCGCCTTGCTGAAACTCCGATGCTGTGATTTTCACCTGACCGGTTACGCACATGCTGTTCACTGCGTTTAATGCTTGTTGTCCGCCTGTTGCAGCTATGTACTGTTGCACTATGTATTTTGCTGTTGAAGCTTGCTGCACAATCCAATATTTAATCTATGTGAGATAATACTGTATAAGAAATCACGCTGACAAATTCAAACGTGAGAATGAGAGTTCTTGAGAAGAGTTACAATTGAGCAGTCCTTGACAGGTTTGTGAACAGAGTGGCCTAATTGCACCTGGAGAGGGATAAGAGGGGATCCAACAAGGTAAAGAAGGAACCGCAGCTCGCTAATCCGACCCGCTAGCATCGGCTGAGACCACTTATCAGATGTTTGAGCTTTCATCCATGTTAACATGTTTTCCAACCGGGCTTGAAGATTGTTTCCCATGCCGGTGAACATTTCCTCCGGCACCGGGACCTCGAGAACTGTCTCGAGGCCATCTTCTTTGTCGATGTTAGGACAAAGTTTCCTCATTTAACAAATGTAAAAGAAGAAAAAGAAAACGAGACGGATAGTGAATATATGAATAAGTATATCAGTGATTTGGTTAGAGATGCAAAGCGAGAGGGAATTCAAGTGATGGAAACACCAAGTACCCTACCTTTCTTCTTCACGATCTTGTTTATTGAGAGTGAAAATCGGGACGTACGTGTGGGAAATGAACGGGCAAGGGATTTGCCTTATGGGCTCTCCTTGCTTGTAGGATTTGTGTGGGCATGATTTACATAATATTGGAGCTGATTTAGTTCGTTAATTGTTAGTGGATTGCTTGAAAATTTTCCATTCACTTGATTAATTAAAGGGTTGATTGCAGAATAAATCCCCAAACTATTGCCAGATTCTAAATCAATGTCTAAACTTTAAATCATTCTAATTGAATTCTTAGAGTATCAATCATGTCCTTTCATCAAATTATTTCTCATTTTAAGGGTTTAATCAGATATGGAGTGAATCACGTTAACCAAATTGTAAACATGTATGTATCTACAGCATGAATAGCTTGGATCTGAAGTGTTAAAAACAAACAATGGCCATAAGTCTTTTCTTAATATGTTAGATACAAATTCTCCTTGTAGTAAATACACACGTTTTTAATTTGACTTATTTTTTCACTATGTCCCACATCTTATTCAAATTGACATTCAATGCGCAACCTAATGACCGGGTTGATAGAGTGACTTATTAATATGATGGTGATACTTTAAAGAGTCATTAGATCATTTTTCACGGACCATCGAGACATATCTCCAGGACTTATTATGAAATTAACGCTTAATTTAATATAATTTAATCGATTTTGTTACGCTAATCCAACTTCATTTTTGTACCAATTGATAATCAAAATATGAAGTTTGGGCTTCTTAATTCTTAGACGACAAAGTTGAAGTATGCCATGTGAGCTTCATTTGATACAGAACTTCCAAAGCCAAAAGTATATCGAGAGTTATAAGAGTTTAAAGTTAGCTAGAAGAAAAAGTTTAAGAAATTATTATTCCAAGTGTTTAAAAGCGATAAAATGAAAAGAAGAAAGGCAAGAATGTGATAACGAGGTCATCACAGCCAGCGAGCAAATCTCTGGCGAGGTTGTCGATTATGCAGTGGGAGGGAAAGTGAGGAAGATTTCCTCTGTGTTGATCAAAGAATCATATGAGGATTTTAATTGGTTGACGACGATAACGACTACGACGATGATATCGAAGACACAAATGTTATACACACGCTTCAATGTACACAATGAAGCGATATTTGGATATAAATATGGAAATGTGACATCAATCATTGAAATTAAAGCAGATTTTTCATTTGCAAAACTACCCACCATTCAAGTTTCTTCTATGGTAGCTTTACCTGAAATTAGCATATAACTGATTGCATAATTCATCAAATCATTCTTAGCCGCAGATAAGTGAAAGCAGCTAAACTCAAAACCACCAGCAAATAACAGCTATAATATCACTTCTAACCTGTAGATTCTTTAGCCTCTTGAACTTCAGCATTAGCAGCACTATAAGAAACCAAACCAAGTTCTTTCTCGAGCTTGGTCCAGGCACTCGAGAAGTTCGGAGGAAAATTCTTCTTTACCGTCCTGATTAACCCTTTAGCGTCTTTGATCTTCTTTTTCTTCACCAATCCCTCCACCAAATGCTTCAGTGTGTTAAAATCTGGAATCTTATTTAACCTTACACTCTCTTTGAACACCTTATAACCTTGTTCATACAATCCATTTAAGCACAAATAAAACACCATAGTCCTAAAAGTAGCCGCATTTGGGTTGCAACCATTACTTTCCAATCCTTCATAAACCTTCTTAGCTTCATCCAACATGCCTCTCTTAAAATAACTAGTCATTAGATAATTATAACTAATGGTATCCGGTTTCAACCCCATGCTGCTCATATCATCAATCAATTCCTTCATTTTCTCCGGATCACCGCCTTGAAAATTTGAAATCCGAACGTTGTAAGCAGCAACATCTAATTCACAACCGGTCTTCATCATCTCCATCCACAACTTCTCAGCTTCTTCTGTTTTTCCCTTCTTATACAAACCGTTTAAAATTGTTGTAAACGTAACAGTAGTTACCTCAACGCTTTTCCTTTCCATTTCTCTTAAAACCTCGAGCCCTTTCTCCGGATGACCAGCTTCGCAATAAGCTTTAATTAAAATCCCATAGGAAATTTTGTCGGGTGAAACACCATTGTATTTCTTGGGAATTTCGTCGAACAGTTGGGGGACTTTATCAAACTGCTTTGACTGATTGCACGCTTAAAGCAAGGTGTTGAAAGAAATGGTTGATCTTGGGGTACCAAATTGGTCCATTTGATGGAAAGTTTTGATGGCATGATCTAACAATCCAGCGATCCCATACGACCTGATGAGCGTAGAGTGAAAAGGCTCCTGAGAAATCTTGGAAACGGAGGTCTTGAGCGTAGCGGGACTTGGCGAGGCGGCGGACGGTGAGGTCTTGAAAGTAGCGGGAAGAAGAAGGGGAAGTGTAGTTTTTGGAAACGGAGGAGTAGATTTCGAGGGCTTTGTCAGGGTCATATTCGGTGCTGAGTTTGTTTTTGGCTTGGGAAACTGAAATTGAGGACGAGTGAACGGCGGCGACTGCACTGGTGGTGGTCGAAAAGCGGCGGAGTTGGCTGAGACGAATAGAAGACATCTTGTTTGGGGACTCTTTTGAGGGTTTGGTTAGGGTTTTAGAGGGGGAGAAGACACGAGAGCAGCTAAACAATGGCCAGCGTTCACCCAATTGAAGATTTTTATTGATGTTCTTGTTTAATTTGTTTTAACGTTATAAGATTTTAGGATTCACAACCATTAAACCTTGTCCAAGCAATACACTATAAATTTATATTTTATATTTAAATTTATTGAGTGATTTAATGATAAAAATATTATTTTTTTATGACTCAAGTTCTAACAATTACTAGGTCTGATTATATTTTATAAAATAAATATTTTATCACTCGATCATTTTTCTCTTTCCTATTTTGATCACTAAAATTTTAAAAATTTCAATTTTATTAATTATGATTGGACATATATCTTTTATAATTATGAAATGACTTTAAATTTTGCTTTAATTTTGTTAAAAAAAAACTTTGATTTCGGATACCCTTTAATCTCCTAACGATGGAACATCTTCTTACAAATTCATAGTAGTGGGAAAGTGGCGAAGGAGACGAATAATATACCTTAATTTCACATTGATTTGACTATAGATATTATATATCATAATGATTAAAGTTTTATGAGTTTTATTTTTAGATTGAATTTTAAAGTGTTTTGAGAAAATTGAAATTGTTAATAGTAAGGACTAATAAGGTAATTTCTCAGTGTCTTGAGTTAAAGGATAAAATTTGTAATGTAGCCTTTTTCTATTTACAAACTCGAATCCAAAACGTCGTGCAAGAGGAATTGAACATTTTACCGTTTAAACGATGGTGTTTCATCCATTAGAAAGTTATAGTAAAGCGATCCGTAGCCTAGGTGAGATTTCACAGATTTAATATATTCGGTTCTTCCTTTATCTAAGGTTAGGACTTCTTTCGTACAAAGATGAAGAAAATCAAAAGGCAAAGAAATCACAAGAAATATGCAACACCAACAAACGAAATAATTTTTGCTTAGAGCATAGCATCACACAAACTTTGACATTAAGTGCAAAACCAACATTAGAATTACAAAAGAGGTGGGCTGTCATTGATAAAATTCTTACATCTTATCAATTATCTCAAGTCAAAAATCTAAACAAAGAAAGAACCAGTTCGTCCAACTATAACGCTTAGTAGATAAGATAGGACATTACGCATCATACTCCCCCTGAGCAAATTTGTTCTCTGGATAGAAGACCGCGATTACTTGATTATCACCGAATCTCCTTCCGTTCATTGCAGCTTGGGCTTTTCGCGAACCTTCGACATCCAAGTACTCCAGAAATACCTTCAAATATATATATATATATATATAAAATTGCAGGTCAGCACCAAGGGGAACGTAGGGATACAAGTGCAACTATCAGAAGCATTCTGTCAGTGCAGGTGATAACTAAAACAACTGAGCTTTTTAGAAAAATGATAAACATGGAAGAACAATATCAAACACTGACCTTCCCAACAACTGGTAATGGTTCGCCGTTTGGATTGGGTCGGGGTATGACAACATTCACCAATTCACCTGCACACCACGTGTGTGAATTTCAAATCCACAATTTTATTGAAGGAATTAGTTAAGTAGAAACTGTATAAAAAATGCAGATAAAGGGTTAATGTGTCTCCTGTCTATGTAATCTAAACTCGACCCTTCTATAACACAAGGGGAACAATAAAGGGCCGTAGAACAGAGATACAAACATACTAACAAAAAAGGGGGAAATTAATAAAAATACACAATAATTAGCATGTTAAGAAAAGGACAGACAATTACAAAAGGATGGACCAAGTAGTTTAAGAAGAATTTTACCATATTTCCCACCCTCTTGTCTCATGTCTTCAACGATATCCCCATACTCCTCGTCATCTCTAAGATCATCTTCGCTAATTGCTTGAGTCAAGCACACAACCTTTGTGGGCACACCTTGTGGTTGCAAAATAAGCCTCTGAGAGGGGGGAACTATGCAAATTAGCCTATAATCTAAGATGATAATTTCAACAAACAAGTTAGTAAAAAAATAAGTAATACTGCATCTTACCTGCAAAGCAATCTGCTGCTGTGCATGTTGGAGGATACTCTCTTGCTCAGCTTTAGGCTGGGTAGTACCTTGGTTTGCTCGCCTAACAGTGAGAGTTTTATCACCCATTTTAATTCCATTTAAAGCAGCACAAGCAATGTCCGTAACTGACAGATCTTGATAAATGCAGAAAGCATAGCCTTTCGAGTTTCCAGTTTCTCTATCTTTAACCAGATCAAAACCACGAAGGGGTCCAAAAGACTCTAACAACTCCCTGATCTGCACTTCAGTAAAGTAATATGGAACCCCTCCCACAAAAATGCGGTCCGGACCCTCAAGCCCACCAGCAGATCCTGGAGATAGACCCACAGCAGCCAGATTAAGATTAGGACTAGGCTGGCTTGGACCAAGAGTTGCAGCTAGAGAAGGGTTATAGTCACTGGGTCTCCTAACCTTCACAGGCGCTCCCTAGAAACTCAAACAGGTCATTGCAACTTTTTGTACTTAAATGACCATTATGAAGAACCAAAGAAAATAAAATACCTCAAAGATAATCCCGTCTAAGGCCATTGCATTACTAGCTTCCTCGACTGATCTCATCTCTACAAAAGCAAACTTCTTTTCATGGTTTATGTAGACATTAACAACAGCATCCCCTGAATGTAAAGAAAATAATGAGCAGCTAGAGACATAAAGCAGGTATTTTAGTCAACCAATAGATAAAAAACTTCTCCATATACCAGGACCAGCAGTGTTTCCACCAATTGCAGCCATAACTTGACTGAAGAAAGTCGCGATTGACTGTAATATAATATTTAGGGTCAGCTCCAGCACTAATGCAACTATAACAATGAAAATGTTAAGCACGGTGCAGAGTAAAACCTGTTCATTTGCAGTAGGAGAAAGCCCTCCAACATAAACACGACGAGCATGCCTGGTAGCCTGAATGAAAAGATAAATCATTGTGTAATTTAAGAAAATTATTTTCTAGAGAAGAGGCCTAAACTCCAAATGTATGCATAATACACCAAACCTGTTGAGTCATTGCCTGAACTGGCATTAGAGGGAGACCACCAAACTGCTGCAAAGAACCAAAGTTTATACAAAGTTTGAGAACATAGAGAGCTCACAACTACCTCATTCAAATGAGAGAAATACATACTTGACCAGTTGCCAGAGGAAACATGTTCGGAAATACTCCAGGGAGGGCTGGATTATTCCCTGGAACCTGGACTGCAAAAGAAATTCAGATTTCATGTAAGGATAAAATTATAAACACCGGTCTTATTCCTATAGCAGTTGATCCAGCATAAGGACTTTTATGCCTCCTTTCCCATAGCATATTTGAACCTCTTAAAGACAAAAAGAAAAAGAACACACCATAAGCAAGTTCTTGAGAAATACTTGCAAGACTACCCAAAAAGGCAATAGTTGCCAGTGGAAAGACGAACAATACCATTAAACCGGTGCATTGATTCCTCCTTGTACACAAAAGCTACAGAAGTCGGCTCACGCCATTTCCTTCTTACAACAAAGACAAAAACATAGAAACAAACAAACAAACACCAAACACAAGACAAAACCAAAACTCTCTCAGTTCCAGAATTATTTCACCAAGTATATAAAATAATATTAAAGCCCCTTCTAAAGACTGCAGCTTAAAAGGCTGTATATGCAAGATGGAAAAAAAAATACAACTTACCAAATGCATACCAGATTTCTGGTACGAACTTCCCACAATACATGAGACATCATCAACCAAAAGAACAGTGGCAGTTAACAAAATATAGAAATCTTAGAACTTGTCAAGGCATATGTACCTGAAGTGGAGGTGACTGCAGCAGGGGCAGCACCACCACCAGAACCAGCAGCTAACATTGCTGAAGCAGGAGGTGCCATGTCAAAGCCACTAATCCTTTTGCTGCAGACAGATAAAATTAGTGTATCAGGGACAAGAAAACATGAACCAGGGCAAAAAACTTTAAACTGTCCATTAACCATAATACATACAAGAGTTGAACACAAGTATTCTAAAAGGAACCAAATGCTGCTTCGATTTGTAAAAACAATGAAAATTACATTTTACAAATTATCTAGTTCTTTATAATCTACCTCTTCGAGGGTGAGCGAGAGCGGGACCTTGATTTTGATCTGTGTTCGGATCTACGAGACCCACGCCTATTCCTGCTCTCCCTGTCTCTATCATAATCCCTTCGCCTGTAAACAGCATTTAGAAATACAACTGCTTTAACAACTAGCAATAAGAACAACCAGAATAATGTAAACAGAGTAATCAAATTAAAGGCAGCTTAAATTAATTAATTTATGCTACCTATCATAATCTCGACTTTGGTGATAATCATCATCATCCCTATCTCTTCTTCTTTCCCTCCTCTCACTCTGCTCCCTACTCCGATCCCTATGTCGATCTCTGTGATGAAGGTCACGATCCTTTTCCCGGTCCCTATCCTTACTTCTCTCCCTCTCCTTCTCCCTTTCCCTGTCCCTATGGCGATCAGAATCCTTCTCCCTTCCCCTATCGCGGCTTTTCTCTTTTTCCCTACTTCTAGAAGATCCTCTATCCTGTTCACGAGATCCATGCTGCAAATAGTTAATCATATCAACATTAATGAATATGAAATCAACAATTACATAGCTAAAAGCCTAAAAGAACTTGATTTGCGAAAAAAATACTTAATTTAAAATAAGACTAACCCTAATATATTTGCTTTTCATAAATGAGCTCACTCATACAAGTAAAATGGCATGTAAAAGAAGAGGAAACTAGAAACTAACCAACCTAAAATTCCTCTACATATTCTTCAAAAAGGACAAAACAATCCATATCAACGGCTTTAAACTGAGACGGGGGAAGGAACCCTAACTTTAAGCTCGTGGAAGTCATACAAACGTACCTGAGATTTGGAATCGCGGTGATCCTCAAGTCCACCGTGACTACCTTCGCGAGGCTGAGGAGAGGGAACGCCGCCATTACTATTTCCAATATCCTCTCCGTTACGCTGGTAGCAAGCTTCGTAATCGGTCATTTTCTTTTTTGGTGGCAGTCTTTAGACTATTTAGGTTTTCTCTTTGATTTTGTTTAGTCGTTGCGAGTACTGAAAATACAAGCCCCTTTGAGAGATTTATGTGCTACGTACGTACTTTGCATAGAATTCATTTTAAAATTTAGGGTTAAACAATATTTTGGTATCAAAATTAGATTTAATTATAAAATAAATACAAAGAATATTATTTTTTTCTCTAAGTATAAAATATATATTTTCTCAAATATAAAGATATTTAGTGTGAATAAGACTAAACAATGTTGAGAGTTCAAATCCTAATATTTACGAATAAAGTGGATTAGGTTGAAAGTATCAACCACAACGAGCTTTGTTACACAAAAAGAATTTTTTTTGACATAATGATAAAAATACCACTACTATTTGTACAAATGATTGTTTTACAACTTATTCTTTTTTTTTTTTTTGAAGCATTTTACTTCAAACGTTTTAAATTTTTGGTCAAAATATATCATGTTGAAGAAAATCATTAGTTAACTAACAATCAATCTATGTAAATGACATGGCTTATGTCACATCATCAATTAAATACATGTGAAAATGTTTAGTCAATAATATAGGTTGATTGTTAGCTAATTAATGATTTTCATTCAGCTGATTTGATAAAAAATTGAAACACCAAGGGATAAAATACTCTGGGAAAAAGAATAGAGTACACAATGACTTTTTGTGTAAACGTTAGGGATAATTTTATCATTATACCTTTATTTTTATTAAAACATTTAAAATATATAAAATATTTTTAATTAATATCATGTTTTAATTTTTTTTGAATAGAAGCCGCTAATTTTAATAAAATAAAAAAGAGTCTAAAATACAATGAAAGTTTATGATCATAATCGTAAATTAAGCATATAACAATAACATTTTTCTATAATTATTTACACAATAAAACTAAGCATATAAAATGATCATACAATGAAAAGGTTAAAAACTAACCAAATAACCACAAAAGTGACCATACAAGAAAACTAAGCATATAAAATGACCATACTCAAACATAAGGTATATACGAATAGATATGATCACATCAGTAAATGAACCACAAAAGTGAATGAAGCTATTGAAAGGCCATTGACAAACTACAAATCATATTTGAACGACAAAAAAAATATCCATGAACGCAAATCACGTATCCAAATCCAATACGATAGTCCAAAGCAGGGAAGATCAACATAATAACAAATAACCGCTATCTTGATCAGTCATAACGATGTTAAATCCAACCATAACAAAAAAGATAAACGAAAATAACGATAAAATAATAAAAAAAAGCGTGCCAAAAAATAAAAAATGTCATAAAGACGAAATTATTAAAAAAATAAAGATATTTATAATAAAAGAAAAGAAAAAAATGAATATCAACGATCGACGATCAACATTAAAATTAGTATCAACATTGATCATAATAATAAAGAAGAAAAGGGACTAAAGATGATAAAAAGCAAAAAGATAAAACTAAAGCAAAGAAAAACCTAATATCACCTTTTAATTTTAAACACCCTAAATAAAAATTATATTTTAATTGTTTATTTTCATAAAAATATTTTCATTATATACTTTATTAAAAAATAATTAATATTTGTATTAAAAGACGAGCATGTTGCCAACTAGTATTGATGCAAGTAGTTGAGATTCGAAAATTTGAGCTTGTAAGACTAAGTTTGAATCCTATAATTGTCACTCTTAGTAGTCAATCTGTAAATTCCTATATAAATCTCAATTGAGTTTTATGTATGCTCTGAGCCTAAACTGGGGGGCCATTCCCGACCTAAATTTTTTTGTAAAAAAAACGAGCATGTTCTTTATATATTTTAATCAAATAATATTTTGATAAAAATATATTTTAATATTTTTAGAATAAACTATTAAATTTATGTTTTATTATCATTTATTATTTAAATATTTAAAATTATTGGGGTGATTTAAGTGATAAAGAGAAATTTATTTTCTTGATAATTCAGATTCAAACAACGTAGTTTATACGTGTGCGTGAATTTAGATTTAAATATTCTTAAAAATTATTTAAATATTTTTTTATTTTGTTTAATTTCCATTAAACACGTGTATTATACTGCTATTTTTTGGTTAAAAATACAATTAAAACATATTAAGTGACTCAAAATTATGTTAAAATTTGAAAAATTATAAACATTTTAACAAATTTTAAAATATGAAAATTGATTAAAAGAATTTCATCTATTTAATAATAAAGAGTAAATTAATATAATTTATATTATAGAGAAACTTGAAAAATATATTTAAAGATTATCATGGATAAAGTCGGCTCAAACTTTTAATCTATCTAAATTTGATTTAAAAATAAATCTTTTTATTTATATTTAATTTGATTCAAATTTAGAAAGATCTCATATTTTGTAAATATAACACTTTTTAAGAGTTTAAATATAATTTTTTAAACATTCACTAATTAAGTTATTGAAGAAAATGTTAATATAAGCACGTTACCATTATTATTTGACTCGTATTCATGTAAATATATAAATAGATAAAAAGAATATCAATCCTAACAAGAATTTACATTTTTATTTTTTTGGATAAATTACATATTTAATCATCTAATTATTTTTAGTCAGTCATCCATCGTAAAAGACATAACTGCTTATGTTACTTTTTTTATTTTTAAATGATGATATGACCTTACCTTATAATGACACGTCATCTTCATAATTAATTTTTTAATAGTAAATGATCAAATGAAGTCAAAATATAACTTTTATTATGATTTTGAAAAAAATAAAAATGAAACTATAAAAATAATTAGCTAGATAACTAAATACTTAGTATGATTTTGAAAAAAATAATGAAACTATAAAAATAAGGGTAAAGTATAGTAATTGTCACTGAACTTTTATAAAGCTTTCATTTAGGTCCCCCAACTTTTAAAACTTACAATAAAATCCTCCAACATTTAGTCCATTTGCAATATGGTCCCCGACGTAACCGACCGTTTCACGCCGTTACACTGCTATTAGTATGTTTGCAATATGATCACTGAACTTTTCAGGCGCTTGCATTTAGGTCCCCAACTTTTAAAACTTGCAACACATTCCTCAATTTCATTCTAAACACCAAATTCCTTTTCGATCTCAAATTTCCTTTTTCGTTTCTCTCTTCTCATTTCCAGCGTAACTTTTCAGTCTGGGATGCATGGAAAATTCTAATATAACTTTGAATTATATGGAGGTGTTGACTTGAATAAGGGTCCTTTGAGAGAAGACCGACTAAGGGATTATCGGGATCATCAACGATTCAAGGTGTAATGTTAGATACATGTCATCTCAGGTGAAACATAGGTGTTCGGTGAAATGCTTGTGAGAAAAAAACGGGGTTAGAAATGCAGAGTTGACAAATACTACAAATATGAACTAAATATCATTTTTTAAAGTTACCAACAAAGCTGAAATTATTTTGTATAAATGACATATAATAATTTCTTCGTTTAATCCTTGTGGTTAAAAATTTTCCAACTGATGATCAAATATAATGAAATCCCAAACATCGCATTCACCTCTCAGTCTCTTTCACTCGCATGCATTCTCTTTTGGTTTTTGTTCTTCAATTTTCCACCATGCAAAATTGTAAACCCAAGCAGTGCTCTGTCTTTCAGCCTTTTATTTACAAAGAAAAAATGGAGGAAAAATTGATGGAACGCAACACCGATTGCGTTTATTTCTTAGCCTCTCCCCTCACTTGCAAGAAGATATTTATTTTCTCTTTTGGGCTATCCGGAAGTAAGTTTTTCCTCTTTCGTACTTTCCCATTTTCAGCTCGCATTGTGTGTTTTTTGTTGAAATTTTTATGTTTCTAGAGCTGCATGTCAATGATCTGGATATTCAGTGTTAGTTTTTAACCATAACCATCTAATTTTCTTTCTTTATTCTTAATTAAAACTTTTAGTACTCCTTATGAAAAAAATTTCCAAAACATGCAAAAAAAATCCAATTTGTTCACGATATATCAGTCCCATAATCAACATGAACTTATTAAAAAGAGTACGAGCTCATAGAACGCCGAAAACCACAAGTCGGATCAATACAATTCCCAGTAAACTAGTACCAGCAATCTCTCAGATTGAGTCTGGCGATTTCACTATGTCGATACTCACAACTAATTCCTTGATTTAAAAAAAACCAAACAAGAAGATAAAAAAATTAGCCTAGGACCCTCTTTCACTTCTATTATGATGGATTGAATATCTTTCATAAGGAGTACTAAAAGTTTTGATAAGAAAGAAGGAAAATTAGATGGTTTTGGTTCAAAACTAACACTGAATATCCAGATCATTGACATGCAGTTCTAGAAACATAAAAATTTCAACAAAAAACACAAAATGCGAGCTGAAAATAGGAAAGTGCGAAAGAGGAAAAGCTTACTTCCAGATAGCCCAAAAGATAAAATAAATACCTTATTACAAGTGAGGGGAGAGGCTAAGAAATAAACGCAATTGGTGTTGCGTTCCATCAAGTCTTCCTCAATTTTTTCTTTGTAAACAAAAAGCTGAAAGACAGAACACTGTTTGGGTTTACAATTCTACATGGCGAAAAATTGAAGAACAAAAACCAAACGAGAGTGCATGTGAGCGAAAGAGACTGAAAGGTGAATACGATGTTTGAGATTTCATTATATTTGATCATCTGTTGGAAAAACTTTAACCACAAGGATTAAACAAATAAATTATTATATGCCATATATACAAAATAATTACACCTTTGTTGATAACTTTCAACAATGATACTTAGTTCATTTCAGTAATACCTATCAACTTTGTATTTCTAACCCCATTTTTTCTCACAAACATTTCATCGAACATCTATGCTTCACGTGAGATGACCTGTATCTAACATTACACCTTGAATCGTTGATGGTCTCGATAGTCCCTTGGTCGGGTCTTCTCTCAATGGACCCTTATTCAAGTCAACACATGCACATAATTCAAAGTTAGATTAGAATTTCCCATGTATCCTCGACTGAAAAATTACGCTGGAAATGAGAAGCGAAAAAGGAAATTCGAGATCGAAAAA